CGTATTTTCATTCTATGCAGATTATTTATCCAACAATCTTATACGATATTTTCGAAAGATCTTGGATGCGATACTTTGGCGGATATGAAAATAAAATTTTGGAAAGATCTCCAAATTTGAGGATATTTGGATGTGATACTTTGGCGGATATGAAAATGAAATTTCGAAAGATGTCCAAATTTGAGGATAATGGAATCTATTATTTCCAATGATCAAATCCATAGAATTGATTTTAAAATTTGAAAATGAACTGACGTGTGTTCAAAATATCAATTAAAAAGAATAAAATTTGCATCTTGGAAAGAATGCAAACATTATTTTATTCGGTTGGGGAGACAGCTGCAATATATTTTGGCTTGTCTGCAGTGCAATTGATCATCGATCATCTAACGATTAAAAAGAAAAAATAAATAAACTGCAGCCCATGGCAAGGCAGATTGGAAGCACAGTAGAACGTCATTGGGAAATGATGTTGTATTCGAATATTTTTCCCTAGAATTTTATGGTGGTTTGTGAGGAAAAAACAACACCATGTAAGGGAATATGATTAAAAGGTTTCTTTCATCCAAGTTTCTGTACGAAGGATACGGGGAGGTGGATATAATTCTCAAATTATAATTTACATAAGAACTATTGAACAATATCGACAAAGGGATGTAATTATCCTTTGAGTATGGAATTAAAATTCCAATTGTTCAATTTTATACATATAAATGTATGTATAAATATTATGAATTGAACCTATAATTGTTTTACCAAATTGAGATGTAATTAATTTGAATAAATTAATTGATGTGTTTGCAAAACACATGAAATGAAATGAATTTGGTGTCCCTACAATTAATTTTGTATAAATTAATTTGTGAAGGGTTGGTTCAAAATTCTTTTATGAGAATTGGTTATCAGTGATTATTTAATAATCACTTGGGCACACTTTAAGAATCGTCAAATATAATTTTGACTGCAATTAAATGTGGAGTGCGTCAAATGCTTTGACAATAATAATAATTATTAGGATTATTATTTGTGCACAAAATTGGGAGTAATACTTTGATGGCTCATGAGGATGGCAAATCGCGGTTAGGCGTAAGGCTGTTGTTTATCATTTATTAAATGTTAGCGCGGTTTAAATTATCATGAAAAGCCAAAGCTTTGTATGTCAAATTGTATAGAGAGGAATCACTCAGATCCATTGGCCAAGAAACTGACATACAATATTTTATCGGGATGGTTAAAGTCCATTAAATTGTTTTAGTGTGAGACACCCAATTCCCTCCTAGCATTGCTGGGAGCTGAATTCAATGTGGAAAGCTCACGTTTAAAGGATTGGAACACACGTGATTTATTCATCCCTCAGAGTGTGTTCGGACTTGCAAGAAAGTTAGGTTGAGGTTTAGCCTCTTAATAATTTCTTTGAAAAATCGTCTTGCAGGGGCGAGACTAAAGAAATTACCCATACGAACATGAAATTTTGCCGCTTCAAGAAATGCTACGGACTTGACTTTCGATATGTTCGTGAATGGATTGGGACACATGGCTTGTAAAGTGTCAAGTGTAAATTGTTGGGAAAAGAAGCTTTTGCGTATTTTATCTTCATGTATTCATTATGAGTTGATAGGTTCAATCCTTGGGACACCTAGATTCTCGAATGCTTGGAATGTGTAATGTACTAAGATGGAAATTCAATCGTTATGATATTTTCATTTATGCATTAGCTTGTTGTATATGTTGAAAAGTTTGAGAATAAATCATGGATAACGACAAAATGGGGGAGGATTGTTGGTTATTTTGTTGTTATTGGATTTATTTGAAGATAAGGAATACCGTATCGAGCTATCTTCGGGAAGGGTCGTGTGGGGTGCGCGCTCGAGGATGCCTATACGATATTGAACGAAGTGTGAAATAATATGATGAAGGAGAAAATTATGGTACATATTGTTTGAAAATTATTATTTTCAAACGAGGAATTAATTATTTAATTCTTGCATAAAACCTTATAAATTCAAATTTAAATTTGAATTGATAACTTTATGGAATAAATTGAATTTTCTCGATTTGAAATTGAAGTTGTATATTTTCATGAAAAGATTGTGTTTTTTGGATTTAAAATTCAAGTTCAAATCTTTTCGGAAAAAATAATTCCAAAGTTATTAATTTATATCTTTATCTTCACAGAATTTTCAGAGAGGAGATAGAAAAGAGAACGAGAGAGAATGAGAGAGACAGACAATGAGAGAAAGTCACATAATCTGAGTGAAATATGCAGAATATTCTCAGGTCTCTCATTTCACCAGGATTCTGGAAATTATGTTCTTCATACGCAAATAATCTCCCAATCGTTTACTTGCTCGATTTTTCGCCTAAAATTTGAGTGTTGTTTTGTTTTATTCTCGTACGAATTTCATGTAACCGGAGCCATTAATAGAGTCGAAATATCGTATAAGAAAAACGAATCTACGCGACTCAAAGTATATCTAAGATCGTATATACCCTGCGGAATTTGATTTCTTCGCATTTTCATTCTATGCAGATTATTTCTCCAACACACTTTGAGAATTCTCAATTTCAAATAACAAAAAAATTTAGTAATTCTATAAAAAAAAAATAGATAAATGAAAATGGAATTTGATACTTTATGGAATATAAAATAATTAAATTTTATCAATAAAAAATATTATAAATTAATATCAACAACAATAAATTAGAATGTTATTTCATAACCAATATTTTCGTCGACACACACATAATATATCCATAGACAAATATAAATTGACATTTTGTCAAGAAATACCTATATGTATTTGCAATAGAATCAATTGAATAACAATAATCACAAGATTAGTATTTTCTTTTTTTTTAAAAAAAAAAATAATTAAATAGTAATATAAATTTGTAAAAGTAAATTTATGGCAATAAATTAATATTACTAACATTTTGATATTATATGAAAGGCTATTATTATAAAATTCAACTTATATAGCTCCTAAATAGATTCTTTTGAAATAGAAACATTTGTATCCAATTGTTCATTAAGAGATTTCATTCTTCTTTCTTGAATGATGTTAGAAACAAAAGCTTCAACTTGAATATTGCAAGCTTCACAAAGTCTGTAATATTTTTTTTCGATGTTGTCAATAATATTTTTCAGCCCAGCATTTTTATTTCTATTATATTGCTTCACACGCGTCTCCCTTCTTCTTTTTAATGAAGCAATTAAAAGCTCGTGTCGTATCCATCTGTAAAATAAGAATTCGTTACAAATTTAAAAATTTAATAAATATATTCAATTTGGTAGCAATGAAGTGAGTAGATTATAGTTCTCATAGATTGTCAAATCCTATATAACTATATTGAAGTACAACCCTAATTTGATCTAAAATAAATTTCCAGGTAATTGGTGTTCGGGCCATAATACATGAAAAATTCAAACGACACTCAAGAACTATTATAACTATTCAATTCTCAAAGCAACTCCAAAGTTCTTATTTTATTCTCATGTCTCAGGCAGAAAATTGATGGAGTAACCTAAAAGAGATATAAGATAATATAACCATTCTTTCTCAATTATATATAGGAGTAAATCGCAACAAATGTTTTTTTTTTTTTCTTTATTTGTTCTCTTTTAATTTATTATATTGGTTTAATTTCCTGCATACTTATCTTATTAAGCATGGTATTCATTAGATAGTGGATATTTCTGTTTGAAGAAGCTGATTTGATTTTTAATTTTACGAAGGAGATGTTTTGTATATGTATCTAATAATGAACTTTATATGTCACATCTTCATATTTTGTCAACCACATTGAAATTTACTCTTCTTTGCAAGGTGTAACTATAAAATGCCCTAGTGTATTTATTTATTTTATATATTGTTTGTGGCTGCAAATGGCTTAGCATTAGTAAGGTCAATCCCTATATATGCTTCCTGTTTTTCTTATATAGTACCCGTCGACCAATATTGTTATGCATACTAGCTAGACTTGCCCAATTACCCTAATGGAATAGCCATTGTTATGCATGCATCAGTTGTTTTACACTGGACATTTGTTTCAGATTTCCCTTAACAACTTAAATTCTTAACTATAATTGCTTAGCAAGCAGCAATTCAATATTTACAACATGAAAGAACTCATTTGCAGTTGTAACTGTATAGAATTAATTGTGCTAAGATTTTTCTTCACACTAAAATGGAAAATGATTTTCTTGGCTGAAGAGATAGCAGCCAAAATTAATGAATAAGAACACTTCATTTTATGTAATAGTAAAATTATGTCCTACAGCAGGAGGCATGGACCTTGTGTTCCAGAATCCCAAAGGGATCATCCCTATCCCTAGTGCAAGCATGTGTTCACATAAATATACAAAAGAGCCAAGCAGCCAATTTTTGAAAGAAAATCGAAATTATGGAATCAGCATCCAAACAGTTGTGTAAAATTTATTAATATGTTTATTATATTGAACAAGGAGAAGCAGATTGCATACATAACTAAAAAATGAGCTAAGAAATATTCAGACAAGTGAAAGGCATAGATCAAATGCACTTAAGATTCTGAAATGTATGATACATCAACTATCACATATATAAGTAAACTGTCGAAAGATTGAAAAACTCAATGTAGCATAAAACATATATCTCACATATAAATATAATATAGCATGGTTTCGACTGAGCTTTATTGCATGCATTCTCAAACTAAATATCTACATCAACAATTCAATTAACCTCAGAGGAGAGAATTGAAGAGGCAGTGATCAATAATTATCATATTGTCTTTAATATTAAACTCTGCAAAACTCTTGAAACGTCATATTTAACGAATTGATGTAGAATAGGATTAGAAAGAAATAATGGTATAATTACGACACAAAGCTTAAGAAACGATTTGATATCCAAAAACTCATCCTCAAGTGTTGGTTTTAAACCACTATGGAAGATAAGCAATTAAAAGTTTAAAACAATGCTTAATTTATAAGCTCGACATTCAACTGATTATTCTTCTCAACAATCCAATCAATATGAAAGCACAAAATAAGAAAAATCAAAGTTGTATATAGTTGCATCATATCGTTGTTTACATAAGAAGAATTCACTATTGATAGCATCAACAAAATAGCATAACTACATACAAAAGTTAGGTAGAAGATAATGCAAATAACCTTCAATTAGCCTAATCTTTCCAGAATCCGATGTTGGTGCGGGATGTCAACGGGAGGGAGTGACCAAATAGCTCAACCCAGTCGGCTGAGTGGGCGGTGCAGCATGATTTGTTGGTCAAGATCATGATTACAAAAGTCTAGGCTATGCGGCGGTGGTCTAAGAAATCAGGTTGCGAAAGTATCCGACGGTGTGACGGCTATCTGAGAAATCGACTCGGTGGATAGACGAGCCACAAAAGGTGAAAGGCATGATTGTAATAACAATACGTTAAATAAATAAATAAATAATAATAATAATAATTAAAAAAAAAATATTGCATACCACCATGTGAATTAAAATATAATATGTACGATACAATACAATACACTACCACGTATATACGTATATATAATGATACAATACTCCCTCCACATGGATATTAACTATAGTAAATTATTATTATTATTACTAGTGGGGAGCCAAACGATCAAATAATTATTTTGTTAATTTTTTTGCAAAATACATTACATTAAATATATATTTAAGAAATATTTATAAAATTATTCAATTGTTAAAATTACTGTTACCAAAAATAATAAATATATAAATTTGTTGTGCAATTTGTCACAATCATCTACTTTCTTATCATAAAAAAGTTATGCTTTCATTATACATACTTAATTACTTATATCTCGACAGTTACAAAATTAATTGTGATGAATAATAAGTATTTTTATACTTTAAACTAATTAGACCATGTCTTTCACATTATACTATGAGTCATCCAAAAGTTTTCAAATTTCGATTCAAAGATTTGGTAACCGATTTAATGCGGAAAACAACAACAACAATAATAAAAAATAAATAAATAACAAAAAGTAATTCAACAATAACCAAATAACTAAAGTTTATAATTATTATATAAAGATTAGTAAATATAATTATTTACCTCACGAACGAAGATCTGATAAACACATGAGCACATTCCTCACACCAATCAACGTGTAATATATTGCGAACCTGGTCTATCAAATATAGGCGTCACTTACATGTTAAATGCAAATAAAGTTATTAATGAATTTATAGTTACCTGTCAGCATAAAGTTGCGCACGAAGGGAAGATCTAGTCGGAACATGAAATTTAGGTGAGCATATTTCAATTTTAATGCCAATGTTCCAGTACTGTCGTATATTTCTAAGGGGATCGGATACAATGATGGATCGAATAAAATATTCCATACTTTCCCCCCATCGACTCGTTTAATGCGTGCAAGCACACGATAAAATTTCACCTGTACAGTTTTTGTTCAATTTCGTTCACAATTAAAAAAATGATTTTATGCGTATATTTAAATAATACAGTATGTGTACCTCATTTTGATATCGCAAATTAGCGATCTTAATTCTTTCGGAATTTGTTATGTTCAATAATTCTGGCATCGAAAATATTCTCGACCTAATGAATTCCATAATTTTTTGTGCAGAGCGATTGCGTGTGAACCTATATATATAAACTATTAATTGATATAGAATATGTGATAAAATAATTGAATATACTTCCATTACCAGTTACGAAGATCATCCATGTGTGGCGTATCATTGTTTATATACAATTTTGTGAAATGATGCGTATAAACAATTGGACCTGTTCAAAATGAATACTATGTAATTAGTCATATACTAAAAAAAATACAATATTTAATATGATAATCATTTTATAATTTTGCAATGTACTGATTTCACCAGGACACCACATGCGAGTAACGTTGTTTCTTCCTTCATCGTTGCTTTCAATTTATCCTCGTTAGTCATGGCTAGATTCCCTTTCAAAATTACTGGAACTGTTGTCAAACTTATTAATGCATAACGTATAATTAGTTTATTTATTTATTGAATTTGTATTTGAATAGTATAAATAAACATATAATGTAATAAGAATCCACGTCGCTACCTTTTATCCAGAAGTATAACTCCGCACGTTTGGTGGCCATCTTTAAACACAAAAGAATCATCTACATGGCAACAATTCTATAATATCTGCACACATGTTATATGAAAGTAAATAACAATGATATATATCTAGTATATATTATAAGTAAAACTTACCAATCAATTGATCCTCCATATCTACATAAGATTTCATATCATTTAAGGAGATAATATTAACAAAATCTTTTGGGAAGATACCATTTTGATCAACTGCATGTTCAATAATTGTGTCTTGACGCAGCAGTAACTGGAATGGCTGGGGTACTATTTTGTGTTTATTGTCAGCAATTATTACCTTCATTTTATGAATACGGTACACGTTGCCTTCGTGAAGTTTTGGAAGTAGAATAGGAATGTTCATTTCGTGTACCACGCACCTTGTATTGTGAATCCCTGCAAAATATATAAAATAATCTCACTTATTCTATTACTATAGCAACATTACAAATAATATATGATATGTAATTTATGCTTTTCGAATAAGATTAATGGAATGCTTACATAGGCGTCAATGAATAAAAGCTTCAAAATTCGAATATTCGATCTTGGAAATCGTGTGTCCACCAATCGAATCAATCGTGCTTTTATAGTAGCATCATAGCACTCGAGAGTCAAACTCGCAATATCTGAATATTCTTCACATGTACGGCCTGTAAATTTATATGGACAAATAGCAATATACCATTATAAATAATGACATAATTATTTTATGAATAAGACAAAAAAATTCTTTGCATTATTATTTGAATAAATTGTAATAGAAAATAACTCTTACGTTATCAGAGAAGCGAGTACTTCTAGATATACTATATTTCTAATAGCATTTTCTGGTACACCATCTTTATTATGAATGAGTATTTTTAACCCTCTTGGATGCGTAACTCTTGATAGTGCAACATATAGCATCCCATGGCAAAATACAGGGTTTGACAAGTACAGTCCAACATTTTCAAGTGTTTGTCCTTGACTTTTATTAATCGTCATTGCAAACGCCATTTAACCGGGAATTGTCTTCTTTTCATTTGAACGAATGTTTGACTTGCACTTGTTGTGAATACAATGTGTGGTATTAGCACGTCTTCCCCCATATGTGAACCGTTCATAATCCGTGCCGACAAAACTTTGTTGCCCAACTTTAGTATTGTAAGTCGAGTTCCATTGCATAGGCCCAAAGATTGGTTGAAATTCCAAAGAAGGATTACTAGTGCTCCTTCTTTCAATTCCAAACAATGGTTTAGGAAACCTAAAATATTTATAGTATTCAGCAACTCTACATAATGTATATTTTCATTTGTATGTTGCGCTTCCCCAGGGATTATGCTATCAACACTATAGTATTGTCGTGGTTCACCTGGCAGCATGGATAACATCATTGAGTTGTACCGTTCTTTTAATTTTGGATATGTTTCGCTTATTAAGGAGTGGATACCATTTCGATTTTCATTTATCAGAAATGCTGAAGGCATTTCAATCCAATCAGATTCAGTATCATCATCAAAACGCAAGAATTTGGTTTTCCCCTCCCCAACCTTATTTATCCAATTTGCGAAGTTTTGCGGTTCGTGATCTGATCGTCTTGTTCCATCCAACGACATTAGTCTCATATTTTTTTTCAGATGCAATATTATTGATCGAAGAATTTTGGAGATTTTTAAAAATATCTTTTAAGATACAAAAAAAAAATGATATAGGTATAAAATAAAAATAGTTTCGTGCGTGTTCGTGTAGTAGCTCCAAAAATTTCGTCAAAAATAAAAAATATCTTTAACCGGTGAGTGTCCGGTCGAACTCAGGAAATATGTGAATATGCAAATACAACATATAGGTTAGAACAATTAAATAATTAACTGGCAATAATATTAATCAGTAAAATTAAACAAACTAATTCTACACTCATCTAACCTAATTAGCAATCCATGGCAGGTAGACTAAAAACAACATAACATAACTACATCATTATCAACACTAAGAGGGTCAATTAAATTAGATAATAACCTAAACTAAAGCTATCTAAAAAAAGTTAAATAAAACTAGCAAATTCAAGCTAAGTCAGAAAAAAAAAAAAAATAAATAAAAGCAGCAAACAAGCCGCAGCAATATGATAAACTAATCTAATATGCAGGAAGAATTACAGCAAATCACAGGAATAAACAAGCAGCAAGTTTGAGCTGGAACTTATATTGCAACAATTAAAAAACACAACTAATATAACTAAACTTAAAAGCAGACCTACAAAACAAGCTAGACTAGAGTAATCTAAGATAATACTAAGCTAACATACAACACTATCAGAACACCAATTCACAGCAGAAAACTCACTATATCGACTAAACTATGTTAATAACGACTAGATTACAACTAACTACTAACTAAAAGAGCAGCACAATATAATTCAATATACAACATAAATTACAAAATACTAACCTAATCTAACATACAGAATATTACAAACAAAATTGAACTAAAACAGCATAATATCTAAAGCTAAAAACTAATTAACAATATAGAATTGGACAAATCTAACTAATTAAGCAAACTAATTCTACACCTATCTCAACTAGTGCTAACCGAACTAACTGGAAGCGACTAAGACTAACAAACAACAAACTAACTATGCTAATTGTCTAACCATAACTAAGGATTAAACTAAGAAAACTAAGTGCAGCAAACTAATATATTACATAGCTTCTAACCATTAATATGAAAATTATCCTAATCAACTAGATTTACAACTACTAATTATCTAAGAAGCAATTATTCTACAAACCAACAAATTAGCAATCAATAAATTAACGGCATAAATAATCAATAAGGGAATCAATAACTTCCCTCATTCATGTCTTGCAGCCAGATTTTTTTTTTCAAAATTTTTTTTGGTGCCGATGACTTCCCTCCTCACACTTGAGTTGTTGTTCGCCCTCGAACAACCTTGAGTAAGCTCAGGAGGGACTGCAATCAAAACAAACATTATTTTTAGCAGCAAAAGATGAGATACAGTCACATTATTTGTCAAAGAATTCAAGAGATACACTAAAACTCCCTTTTCAAAGTTACATGAGTCTTCTTGCTTCGGAATTTTCAAAGCAGTCTCCTCCTCAGCGTCAATTCACCACAGAATGAATCTGAAAATTTCAGATTTTGCAACCACCAGCGACTGTTGTATGCAGATTTTTATCGAATGCCCTCAATTATCAATCCTCAAATCAAATGAATCCAACACAGCCTGCAATCAGCCCTTGGAGGTTGTTCGTATCTTGTCTTAAATTATCGATTAATCCTAAAATCATCATCAGAAATAAACTCACAACTCATCGCAATTCACCAATCATATACCAACTATGTCTACAAATTCGACAACTAAGTCCAATCTAAACTAAATCCAAATTCCAACATAATTTTAATCCTAATCACAACTACAATAAACATCAATAGGATGACACAATCCAATAAGGAATTAAAGGCACAATCTAATCCCAAAACAGTCCTGCAAAATTTCAGATTATTAATATTATGTTTGAAATTAAGAAATTCGATGAAATTAGGCAAGAGAATGTAAAATTGAGTAATACAACCTTTTCTCGATGTTTACCATCTCTGTGTGGAAGGAATAATTGAGGATTTAGAAGCTGCTGGAAATGGGGAAGGTGACGGGCGACTTCATCATCCCAGTGAATGAATTGTGGTGAATGAATTGTGGGATTACAGTGAAGGATTAGGGCTGGAATTATGGCTATTGATTCGAAATCTGAAATCTCTTTCTCCTAAGACTATGTTTGGGAATTTTCTTTGTAGACGCCGACAAACGAAATGAACTTTTGTCCAAAATAAAGAAGAATAAATTCATAGCTTCGCTTGCAGGAGGGACTGTTCTGTGCCGCTTTACATACAGTCGCTTCGCTGCAATTGCCTGAAATTGGCTTAGCTGCAGACCGCTCACCTTTCCTGCTTGTTTTCGCCGCTTGGCTGATGAAGGAATTTGAGAATCGCGCAAGCGGCGACCCCATGGCTTGAGCGGTGGTTTCCTATGGCTAGGAGAAGACATCAGCTTTCACATCTCTAGTAGCAGCGGTGTAGAGAGGACTTCGAGTCACCGCTTGCGTGCGGAGTTCCCAAGAACAGACGTCCGCTTCAATTTTTATCATACAAGAGGGACAAGCGGATCATCGACTAAAGTCCTGAATGAACAGAAAATTATTATTAATATTATTTATTATTACAGTTATTATTATTATTACTAATATTATTTATTTATTATTATTATATATAGAAGAGAAATAACACAGAGCAGCCGCAAAGGCTGAGGCGCTGCTGCAGATCTTTTTTTTTGAAATTTTTTTTTTATTTTCTCCGAAAGATACATTGCCGTGCAGGTTTGATCCTCGAAGGATATTGCACTCTCGAAACCTACAACGCATACTGCCGATGGATTAGATGTTCAAAATAAAATAAAATAAAATTCAATATTAAAATTAAATTAGCATTAAACTCAATATTTTCCAATTAAAACAAAGATACTAAGCTTATTCCCCGGCAACGGCGCCAAAATTTGATCGAAGAATTTTGGAGATTTTTAAAAATATCTTTTAAGATACAAAAAAAATGATATGTATAAAATAAAAATAGTTCCGTGCGTGTTCGTATAGTAGCTCCAAAAACTTCATCAAAAATAAAAAATCTCTTTAACCGGTGAGTGTCCGGGTCCAACTCAGGGAATATGCGAATATCCTATATTTAATTAGAAACGAAGTGCAATGAGTTAATGCAATCGAAGAACTGAAAAGATAAATTGCAGAAAATAAATCTAACTAAAAAGTGATAAAATATACATATCTCGAAAAGGATGAAGCGAGGCGTTTGTGTCTGACTTTTGCGTTCCTTAATGGCTAGATTTCCATGGATGAAATGAGCGGGATGACGATGGCGTAATAGCGAAAAATATATGTATAATTACGGGGTGGCTCGGAGGAACGAACGTGATCACATTTGCTCGCATAAGCCGATTCTCGACTTGGTTGGTACTCGACCTTAGGGGATTTACAATGAGGCTTCAGCGACACCCGGCGAAGAACATTATAAGCAAGAAACTCTACTGTCACTAGAAATGTCTGTAACCCAATAGACCACCACCTATGCCCCATGAATTATTCTTTCAACCGTTCCGCTAGTGGCTCTACCCCTCTGATACCTCTCTTTAATCAGAATTGAATTCAGAACAGCAACTAAGCAGGTCGACGAGGCTCCCACGTACTTAGCTACGTTGAACTACCCGGAATTTGTTTGTGACACAAAAAAGGGCAGAAATAGTCTATTCTTCTATTACCTTTCCGCAACCTTGTCGAAATCCAACTTGAACAATTCAAATCGAACATGGAATTTTGGTGAAGGTGAGGTGGAGAAATATGATAGGAATTTTACTAGCTAAAATAATATGCAGGAATTAAAAGAAAATGAGGAGAAAATCAGTTTGCTCGCGATACAAAACCGAAAATCTCGTATTATTAAACTAGATAAAAATATAGGAGAAAAGAAATGTTAAAAATGGATTGTATGAAATGTATATTATTGTGTATATATGGTGTATATATGTGTGTTTATAGGGGATATTTATAGGGGGAAAGCTTCCAGAAGCTTCGTGGTTACAACTGCCCATAAATAACTACTTCTAAAAATAACTACTAACTACCTCCAAAAATAGGTACTAACTACCTCTAAAAATAACCATAAATAACTACCTCTAAAAATAGCTACTAACTACCTCTAAAATAGCAACTAATATAACTACTAATAACTTACTAAAACTACCTATTTTCTAGAAGGTTTTAGAATAAATATTACACAAAAATAGCCAAAAATTGGCTAAGTGATGATGCAGGAATTAAATATGGGAGCTGGGAGAGTGCAGGAATAAATGCAGGGTGACTGGAATAAATGCAGGAGCTGAGGGAGGTTGGGCAGATTTAATGCAGCCGCCGCTTGTTTTCCGCATAGCCGCCACCGCTCACTTTCATGCAGAGATTTCCGCTCCGCTCTCATTTCCGTGCGCCGCTGCTCACTTTCTGCATTGGTGACTGTTTTTCGCTCCTGAAGCTATTTTTTCGCTTTTTAAAGCCAGTTTTGAACTCCCAAACAAACATTATTTCACCTGTATAAATAATAAACACCTTATAAATATTTATTTAAATAAATAATAAATAAAATTAATTTAGCCAAAATTAAATACTTAAATAGCACATAAATAATGCTTAAAATAATCATTCAAGAAACACATCAATTAATATAAATTATACACTAAAATAATTATAAATTACACCTAAAAACTAATGAATTAATATTATACACACAAGATGAAATAAATACATTTATTAGAGTAAATTAACATAAATAATACCAAAATCCGACATAAATAAATAAATATAAACTATAAAATGTGGCAAAATCAAGAGTTATCAATTATGCACTTGCTCCAAAGAGGTGAATTTGACAATGAAGCAGCGACAATGGCTTCATGATTGCCTTTTGTTACAACCGGTAGGATTTGTCGGAAATCACCGCCCAAGACACATAATTTGCCACCAAAAGGCTTATCGGAAGTATAGTTCGACGAACTTTTCATTTTGTCTTAGAGCGTTCTACTAATTGCTTCAAAGCAATAGCGATGTGCCATTGGTGCTTCATTCCATATTATTAATGAACTTTCTTTAATTAGCTTTGCCAGGTTTGAGTTGATAGTAACAGAACAATGCGATACTTCATGCAATTTGAATGGTATCTTGAAACGTGATTGTGCTGTCCGACCTCCTGGTAGTAATAAAGTTGCAATGCCAGAGGATGCCACTGAAATGACGATATTTTGTTCAGATCGGAACTTTGCGATTAATGTTTTATACAAATACGTTTTACCCGTTCCTCCTCCACCATTGACAAAGAAAAATCCACCGCAATTTTTCTCATGAACATTCATTATGACATTATATATGTGGCGTTGATCCTCATTCATTCCATGAAAAAAAGAATGGAAGGTTTTCTCTTCTTGTTGTACGTTGTAATCGAGTTCTTCATGTATCAATCTGTTCGAGGGAAATGCATAAGATGTAGTTGATGGATGTGGCATAGACAGAAAATCTATAAGAGTTCTTCCATTTTTCATTAGTATTGTCTCTATTTCCCGTAGACACCAATCCTTTGGAAGTTTTTCAGAAAGAATAATATTAGTTCGCGATTCTCTTTTGAAATGATATATGAAGTCGTCGACCATAGATTTCCAATGTGCTTCCCATCAACAAACAGGATTTGTGATTTCAGAAAACATAAGCATAGTTGCAAACATATCGCGCAATGCTGGTGATGAAGCCCAGCTCGTAGCTTCACCTAATGCCTCGTGGTATTCATTATCATCATCAAGTAGGCCACGTGCCGCACATGCCTCTTTGAATGTTGTATTATATTTCCATTAAATGTATGAATATCTTCATAGTTCTCAGCTCCACAAACTATATAAAGCAACATCCGTATATAATATTTTTCTCCAAAATTCGGATGGGCATATGGCAATCTCCCTATGCTTCTCCCACGTTTTCTTATAGTCCATTTTTTGTTCCTTTTATTCCATACCCATTCACTGATGAAATCAACGTATGTTAATCTCTTTGCATCGATGTTGTTTTTGTTAGCTTCAAACCATTTCATCAACATTGTATCTCGAATTCCACCACGATTGAGAAAATTTGGCAAATTGTCTCTGTCATTGAATGTGACAAACTATTGGTTTGGTAGGTGGTATTGCAGTCGCTCAACTGGCGGAGAGTGTTTTTGCAATTCAAATTCATATATTTTCCAGCAAGCTTCTATTGCTGACACATAACGACAGTCAAGATATTGTTTGATTTCATCCACTAGTTTTGTTTTTTGTCCAATTAGTCTATTTTTTTGGATAATGTTTGATGCATCTTCCATCCATCATACATGGAGATTTTGGATTGTAAATTCCACAAGGACCATGAATCATATTTCTTGTTACCGTATCATATGCCAGTGAATCAATATTCTTGTCTGGTATTTCAACGCATATGTAACGGTCTATGTCTTCTGTAGCAATTGACTTGAATTCACGTGCCAATGTTGTTGTCATATGTGCATGCGGTAATCCTTGTTTTTGAAATTCAATAACTTCAACATCTGTGAAACATATAAAAAGTTAGAAACTATTGTTCATATTTAAACTTGTATTTATAATTTTTTAGTACATGATACCTGCAGTGTCTTTCCGAAAAACATTTGTTTCTTAAATAATTATACAATTTGTTTCAATTTCATTCGAAACACTCTTGCCAGAATATCGGGACGGTCTTCAGGTTTTTGATTAGGAAGAAGCTGCAAGTCATTTAAAATTTCTGGCCATTTTGGATTACAGGTGAATGTTATGAAAAAAATCAGGAGGTCCAATTGTTGTGCATATGGCTAAAGCATCTTGATAATGTTGTATCATATTTCTTGCACTTCCTGTGAAAGATAATGGCAGAATAATCCGCATTCCTACAGTACTGGCATCTGTATCTCCAGCTACAACGGCGTCTTCAAGACCTTGGTATAAATCTGAACATAATTTATTTTGATGTGTCTTCAAGTAGTTCAAACGTTGTTGTTCAATTGCAGCATAACAATCTACTGCAAGTTGGTTAAATAGGCGTCCTCCCTGCAATATAGTTGTACCTTCAAATTCTCTATGTTGAAAATGATATGCCCAAAATTCTCTTATGGTAACTTATTTAGAAGTTGAATTGAACGGAATCACAACTCTCCATCCATCTGTTGCATAAGGAAAAAGCAATGGAAACTGCAATGGTGTATAAGAATGATGTGTTTCATTAATACGCTTCAAGTATCCTTCGTTCTTGCAAATAATGATATCTCGACTTTGAATATCCTCACTTGGTTCTCCACAGATTAAAGCAGCAATTTCATTTGCTGTGGCCATTGTATATTGTGTAGCACTTCGATCATGCAAAATGCATATACGGAGATTTATGTTCTCATTGAGCCTTAGCGCGTCTCTTGCGGAACGAAATATTTTTACATATAGATTCAAATCATCCAACATTAACTTAACCCTTAGACTATTGAGCATATTTCTGGACTGAAATCCCTCTTTCCGAGA